CGGATACTCGACAATTCAGTGTTTGATCCACTGTAATTGTCAAGTCAAAGATCTTGTGATGAGACAAACCCTTCAGCTAACCCAATGAGGGCGATTATAAGGTATATACAATAAAGCTTAATTCAACTAGCCGACAATGGCAAATTAAATCAAATTGATCTAATAATGAGTTTCGATGAAAATAGACTAAGGGAATCAAGGAACACTTGTTATAGTCAACCTCATACAAGCACGCATAAATTTTATGTTTAGATTGATGTCCCTACACTACCTTTGTTAAAGGAAGCCTATGAAGCTTGAACAAATGAAAGATTTCAGAGAATTGAAACATAAGGGTTCTAGAAAGTCTAGTGATTGATTATGCTGGTTGTGTCATTTTGTCCGCATCTGATTAAAATGTCAAGCCAAAGAAGAAGGGCATGTCGTAAGGTTCACAGGGACCGAAAGAGAAATAACATTTCGATGACTGAAACCTTATAAACTTTAAGGAGCTAACCTGAAACCAACCTATCAATTTTGACACTTGTCAAATAGGTATAACTTTGAAAGATTAAAAGAGTTGTTGATCCTCTTGATATTTACCAAACTCATGTTATGTGATTTGTTTCAATTGTGAGCATAAAGGAATGACGTTTTCTTAAATGAACTTTCCACATTTTCAAAATAAAAAGAACGAAAATATTTTTAAACAGGATAATCTCTCTGGAGAATTTAGCTTAGAAATTGACTGAGGTCCCTCAGACCTAGAACCTCAGAATCAGAAATTGGGGCAAGAATATGAATGTTAGGGAGTCAGGAAAGTAGATTTTTGCAAAGAAATGCGATGGTACACCTTGGTGTAAGAGAAAAATGAAGACGAACAGATCAAGAAGAGAACCAAGATTTCTTGAGCACCTTTTCACTGTTATTAATCAAGAAAAACATGCATTACACACACATAATTTGTATCTTTGCATCAAACATCCATCATCAGGATAGTTGAATTTAGCTAAATTTTACAGATATTTCAAGAAAAAATGAGAGTAAAAGACAACAAGACATCCTCTGCAAGAGGGAGCAATCATCTTCAGATTCAACATTTCCAAATAAATTTTGTCTCACTAGAGATAGTCTCACTGAATACGAAGGATTTATTTCACTTGTGATTGTTTTTTTTAAAACAAACTTTGTCTCACTATAAAGAAGATAGTTCATTTAACTCAAGATTTGTCTCGTTTGAGACAGTTTTTACAAGACTTTTCATTTTACTCAAGATTCTTTTTAAAGAATATTTTATCTCACTTGAGATGGTTTCTCTCGAAACGGAAGATTTTATCTCGCTTGAGATAATTTCACTTAAAACAAGAGTTGTTTCGCTTGAAACATAAGATTTTGTCTCGTTTGAGATAGTTTCCCTTGAAACATAAGATTTTGTCTCGCTTGAGATAGTTTTTACTCGAAACAAGAAGATTTATTTCACTCAAGATTATTTTTCTTAAAACAAGATTTGTCTCGCTTAAGACGATTTTTACTCGAAAGAAGACATTTCATTTGACTTAAGATTGTTTTTCTTAAAATAAGATTTGTCTCGCTTGAGACGATTTTTACTCGAAAGAAAACATTTCATTTCACTCAAGATTATTTTTAAAGAAGATTTTATCTAGCTTGAGATAGTTTCAATCGAAACAGAAGATTTTATCTCGCTTGAGATAGTTTCACTCGAAACAGAAGATTTTATCTCGCTTGAGATAGTTTCACTTGAAACAGAAGATTTTATCTCGCTTGAGGTAGTTTCCCTTGAAACAGAAGATTTTATCTCGCTTGAGGTAGTTTCCCTTGAAACAGAAGATTTTATCTCGCTTGAGATAGTTTCCCTTGAAACAAATTTTGTCTCTCTTGAGGTTGTTTCCCTTTAAACAAATTTTGTCTCTCTTGAGACAGTTTCCCTTGAAACAAATTTTGTCTCTATCGAGATAGTTTCCCTTGAAACAAATTTTATCTCTATCGAGACAGTTTCACTTGAAACAACTTTTGTCTCTCTTGAGACAGTTTCCCTTGAAACAAATTTTATCTCTCTTGAGACAGTTTCCCTTGAAACAAATTTTGTCTCTCTTGAGACAGTTTCCCTTGAAACAAATTTTATCTCTCTTGAGACAGTTTCCCTTGAAACAAATTTTGTCTTTCTTGATACAGTTTCCCTTGAAACAAATTTTGTCTCTCTTGAGACTGTTTCCCTTGAAACAAAATCTTTGAATCTGTTTCCCTTGAAAAAATATTATCTCTCTTGAGATAGTTTCCCTTGAAACAAGTTTTGTCTCCCTTTAGACAGTTTCTCTTGAAACACAAACCTTTGAGATCGTTTCCCTTGAAACGAATTTTGTCTCTCTTGAGACAGTTTCCCTTGAAACAAAATCTATCTCACTTGAGATGGTTTTTTTAAAAAACCAACTTCGTTTAGCTTGAGACATTTTCCCTCGAAACAAGAAAAATTATCTCACTCAAGAGAGCTTATCTTAAAACAGGTTTCTTATTCATTTTCATCCAGATGGTTAATATTTGATAGGAATTCCAAAGTTAGCAGATGTTTCATTTCACAATTCCATGTTGAAGAAGAAGATTTCAGCAAAGAATCAATTCACATCTTCATTGTTGGAAGAAGTGGATCTCAACAAAGATTCGAGGACCTTTGGATCAATACATTCAGATACTTCAAACACAATTATTACTGACACATGATAATCTTTTGCAGGTTGAAAACTTCAAAGAGAAGATAAACCGATCAACATTTCCAATGGAGAGTTCATAATGAGAAGAACTCATCCGACAGAGGGAGAAAAAGTTTATAATGAGAAGAGCTTGTTTGACCTATCACTTGATTCACGACATTTCGAATCAGTGATGCCTAGCTTGAGGGATTGAAATTTCAAATGGAGAGTTCATAATGAGAAGAACTCATCCAACGAGGGAGAAGAAGTTATAATGAGAAGAACTTGTTCAACCTTGGCTCAGCATTTCCAGTGGAGAGTTCATAATGAGAAGAACTCATCCAATGAGGGAGAAGAAGTTCGTAAAGAGAAGAACTTGTTCAACCTTAGCTCATCATTTCTAACGGAGAGTTCATAATGATAAGAACACATCCAACAAGGGAGAAGAAATTCATAATGAGAAGAACTTGTTCAACCTTAGTTCAAGATTTCTAGTGGAGAGTTCATAATGAGAAGAACTCATCCAACAAGGGAGAAGAAGTTCATAATGAGAAGAACTTTTTCAACCTTAGTTCAAGATTTCCAGTGGAGAGTTCATAATGAGAAGAACTCATCCAACGAGGGAGAAAAAGTTCATAATGAGAAGAACTTGTTCAACCTTGCATCAACATTTCCAGCAGGGAGTTCATAGTGAGAAGAACTCGTTCAACTTTGGTGATTCCATCATAGAAGGAGATGGATCGACATTTTTATTTTCGCTCAAATCCATCACAGATGGAGTTGGATTAGCATCGTCAACATTGTCATTCTTTCTCGATTCATCACATATGGAGTTGAATCAGCAACACTTCTCTTGAGGGATCAACATTTCTGGAAGAAAGATTACGATGTGAAAAACCAACGACTTGAAGAAAAAAGATTGAGTCAAAGATGGCGCTCTTTTATCTTTGCTTCATTCCCGTTTCACAGCAATGAGAAAGAGGGGCAGCTGTGAGCACCAAATTTTATTCATCACCAAGCCCATGTCTCCCACATGTTGTTGTCACCCACCAAGCAAGACCATACTCGTACCATAGTTTTCCACCATCGAGCTACCCATGTGAAGCACTACAACGCCCACGTGAAGCACTATAACGCCCACGTGAAAACATGGATCTGCTGCCCATGCCTTTCCAATATCCTTAGCAAGACTAGCTCCACAGAATACCCATACTCTGGCACCACAAGACGTGAAGGGGAACCCATCTTTTACTATTTTATATTCCTGTAAATGGGATATAAATGAGGGGGAACCGATCAGCAATAGTGAGAGCATCAACAGGGTGTAAAAGAGTTTTTTTTCTCTCATATTCGAAACAATGTAATAGAGGGTTTCTCCTTCGGATTTACTAAGAAAGCAATACAAAGCACGAAAAAAGATTCCAGTTTTCAATTCTTTACATTTCCAATAACTCATTTCTGATATTTCGAAGCAAATACAAAACTAAAATAAAAGAAAAGGTCATTCGAATTTACCTAAGCCATTGGAGTCTCTTCATCGAGGATCATCACCGGAGTTGAGCGTCGAGGATAGGAGAAGCCGAAGGGTGAGTTTATTTAGGCCTTTATATATTTGCATGTGGGTTTTGATGTGGGGTTGGGTTTAGAGCCGTTTGGTTCGTATTTATTCGATGTTTAGGGGACGATTTAATGAGTTTTAACCTCGGGTTTGTGGTCTAGAGGGAAAACTGAGGCGTGAAGGTTAGTTTAGGTTTGGTTTTGGATTCTCTAGCCACCGTTAAACGGTGGCGATGACAGCTTTCCACGGTGGTTTTTTGCTTTGGAGAGGGGCGTCGTTCGTGGAGAAGAAGAAGGAGAGAGAGGCTGAAGAAGTTTGGTTTGAGTGTTAGGCTTAGGTTATAACTAGGGTTTTGTTTTTAGCCTAAGAGATTTTAAACTGAAGCCTTAAATGAAGACGTTTTGGGTGCATGAAACTGCTCTTTTTAAAGTTTCGATTTCCATCATCAAACTCTACACGCTTTACAATTTAGTCCTAGAACCGAGTCTTGTATATTTTTAATCTGGTCTCTTTATTTTTTGCACATTTAAATTTATGTCATTTACTTTTCGTTATTTAATTTCAGTCCTTACCTTTTATGTGTTTTAAGTTTATGATCTTGTATATTTACCCTTCATTTTTTCAGTACTTTAATTGTAGTCATTTTTACATATTTTAATTACCTTTAAAAATTTTCATTCTTTATTCTTTTAATTTAATCCTTGATAGATCATTTTTCAGATTTAGTCTATAACCTTTTAATTATTTGAATCTTAAAATTAATTTAGGCTAATAATAGAGCCTCCGTTTTAGCTTAGATTTCAACTAGTCTTTTAATTTAGGGGGTAATTCGAGTCGGCCCTCACGTAAACGCCCGAGGGACCTTCTCGATTATTCGATTCAATAATTAATTAAAATTAAATAGGATTAATATTAGAGCCTACGTTTTAAGCTTGATCCCCTAGGTTCTTTAATTTTCATAATTTAACACTTTAAGCTAGAAAAAGCCTTAATTTCTTTTTAGTATAATTAGGAATAAATAAAATTTTGCTTGATTGCATTGTTTTTAAAACGTAAGACACTGTTCACTTATTAAGGAGTTAATAATATATCCTCCGCGATCGTGCACAGGGGGTGACTACTGGTAATTCCCTAAGTAAGTCGACATCCTTTTCAAAACCACATCATGTTTTCTAAAAACGAGGCAATGTTCGATTATTAGACACAATAGTTGATCTCCCGCATTTACTCTCGGGGGCGAATGCTATCGGTTTCAATAAACGAATATCTTTTTCAACTTTGCATCCATAATGATTTTCAAATTAAATAAAGATTAAACTCAAAATTTACAATTTTAAATATAGGGTAATCAACTAGGTACCAATTTTTGGGCGCTTGTGGGGTGCTAATCCTTCCCCAAGCGTAACTGACTTCCGAACCTAATTTTTGGATTTTTGTAGACCCCAAAACTCGATATTTTATTAAAATAAAATATTTTATTAAAATCACTCAGTTTTTACGGTGTTCCAATCTCACCTTAAATGATTGGTGGCGACTCCTCACATTTCGAAAATATTTTCAAAGAAAAAACCCCCGAGTCAGTATCGGTCTTCTCCCGCCCGGGCGAAAAATAGTGTCGACAACTGTTTCCACTTTATTTTCCGATCTAACACCCTTTGCAGGAAGGCGCGGCCCATGCACCGCGCCTTACTCCACGTGGCAGAAGGCGCAGCCCATGCGTCGCGCCTTACAAAAGGTGTAAAAAAAGGGTGCTAATTTTGCAACTATTTTTAAAATGGTATCTAATATGTAATTAATTTATGTTAGTGTGTTATTTGTGTAAAAACGCCTACTTTATTTATTTATTTTTTGTGTCATATTATTTTTTTAACAAAATTAATTATTTAAAATATAAAAATATTAAAATAAACTTTTAATTACAATTGATGGATTAAATGAATTATTATTCACTTTTTTTAAAAATCAATAAAAATGCAATAAAAAGAATTGAAAGTGAATAAAATTCAATAAAAAAATAATGTAAACCTACAAATATTAAAATTCAATAAAAAAAGAATGTAAAGCTAAAGAATATCACCTCTTTATTTAAAATATTATTTCTAATATTAATTTTAAAAAACATAAAATAAATATTAAATTATAATTTTATTAAAAATGAATAAATATTATTAATTGTTGTTAAAAAATAATAATTAATGAATAATAATTTATTTGATCACTCAATTGTAATTAAAAGTTTATTTTAATATTTTTTATATTTTTAAACAATTAATTTTAAAAGTCAATAAATTTTTCAAAAATATATGAAATTTATAATTTTTAAAATTATAAAATATTTATCATCATCATCATTTTGTGAAATAAATACTAGTTATAAAAATTTTACAAAATTATTAATATTTTAAAATACTTACCCTCAAAGTTTTCATATACTAGATTATACGTATTGTGTAATTTCATGCAAAAATCAAAATAATTTTATTAAAAATGAACAAACATTATTAACTATTGTTAAAAAATAATAATTAATGAATAATACTTTATTTGATCCCTCAAATGTAATTAAAAGTTAATTTTAATATTTTTTATATTTTTAAACACTTTTATAAAATTATTCATATTTTAAAATACTTACTCTCAAAGTTTTTCTATATTAGATTATATGTATTGTGTAATTTCATGCAAAAATCAAAATTTGTCGAGTTATAAAATAATTTGCAAAAGAAAATTTAAAGATTTTAACGTAGAAATTTTTTTCACAAAAAATAAAAAAATAAAGTTGACAATTTTACATAAATATCATCTTAATGGAAATTAATTACATATTAGGTACTATATTAAAAATATTTACAAAAATAACACCCATATTTTTTACATCTTTTGCAAGGCGTGTTTCAGGGGGGGCGCCTTATCTCACATGACGTCACATCACCTACAAATTGTTATGAAACGGAAGCCAAAGGCACAGTGAACAGAGAGTTAGTTGACGATTTAGTTTGGTTGCTTGATTGCTTATTTCTTTTAATATTTTAATGTTTTTGTACATTTAGGTGGTGTTTGTTTTTGTAGAGGTAAAATGTATGCAGTCTGCGGACCACATTTGCAGGCATCTGCAGTAGAAGAGGTGAACCAAAAGTCTACAGTCTGCAAGAAAAAGACTGCTTATTTTTTAACGTCTACATACTGCTAAAATAAACTGAAATATAAATAAACTGATTTTTTAAAGATAAAATAACTTCAGTGACCGAAAATATATTATAATATACGATTTTAACTAACTTTTTTTGGATTTACGAAAATGACCAACAAATTCGCAACGCGAACTCCAATTTCGCAACACATGTTCCAAAATCGCAACGCGAATAGGTAAATCGCAAAGCGGATATGTAAATCGAAACGATAATATATAAATCGCAACGCTAATTACCGATATAGGTCAACAGTGTTATTGTAACGTGATTTTCTAAATTCGCAACGCGATTTTCCAAATTCGCAACGCTAATTACCGATATAGGTTAATAGTACTATCGCAACACGATTTACAAATTCGCAACACTAATTACCGATATAGGTAAACAGTGTTATCGCAACCCGATTTTCCAAATTCGCAACGCGAATAGTGTTATCGCAACGCGATTTTCAAATTCGCAAGCTAATTACCAACATAGGTAAACATTGTTATCGCAACGCGATATTCCAAATTCGCAACGCGAATAGTGTTATCGCAACACGATTTTCCAAATTCGCAAAGAGATTTTCAAATTCGCAACGCTAATTACCGATATAGGTAAACAGTACAACCGCAAAGCGATTTTCAAATTCGCATCATGAATTATCGATGTAGGTAAACAGTACTATCGCAACGCAATTTTGGAAACTGTGTTGTGATTTACAAATTCGCGTTGCGATTTTGGAAACTGTGTTGCGATTTACATATTCGCGTTGCATATTTGGAAACTGTGTTGCGAAATTGGAATTCGCGTTGCGAATTTGTTGGTCATTTTCACAAATCCAAAAAAAGTTAGTTAAAATCGTATATTATAAGGTATTTTCGGTCACTGAAGTTATTTTCTCTTTTTTAAACTATACTCAAATAACCATTTTTGCTATTAATTTTTTAAAAATTATAAAATGTCATTAAATTTAATGAATTATTACAAAATAGTCACTATAATGTTGTAATAAATTATAAAAGTTCGATAATATAATAATTATTTTATAGTATTTAGATAAATTTATTAATAATTTTATAATATTTTAATAAATTTAATAAGTATTTTATAATTTTTTAAACTTTATTGACGAAAATGATCATTTGTATATAACTCAACGATATCTAATATACTTTATTTGAAAAAAATATTAAATAAATATTATAAGAATTTTATTATTATAAATTATTACATCTACGGACTATTAGATTTTGGTTTTAATATTATATATCATTTTAAAAATTATTATTAAATCAATCGATAATGAAATCAATTTGATTTTAATTCAATTTGTTTGTTTCGGTTTAAGTAATTGTTAAAAAAAATTATATTTTAATTATCAATTATTATCGATTCACAAATATATCAATACTCGATTTTATAATATCATTTAAATCATCTTAATTTATTCGAGTGGTACAATCCGATTCTAGTAACATCAAAAAATATATATAATATATACTCCATATAATATACATCAATTATTATTTTTCTATTTAGAAAACATATATTATTTGTTTTTTATTTATTTATTCTATATAAAGGGACTTTCGTACTTTACCAGAATTAAATGATAAGAATCAGATTTTTCAATAGTGTGAATAATTTTTTATTAAAACATTTATTTTATCTTTTAATGCTAATAATTGTATGTCCCCGTGATTTTCTAAGTTTTTATATATAAAAAAATTTACTAAGTTTAATTGTATAATATTTTTTACTAAGTTTAATATATTTTTTCAAATAAAGTATATTAGATATCGTTGAGTTATATACAAATAATCATTTTCGTCAATAAAGTTTAAAAAATTTAAATTACTTATTAAATTTATTAAAAGATTATAAAATTATTAATAAATTTATCTAAATACTATAAAATAATTATTATATTATCAAACTTTTATAATTTATTACAACATTATAGCGACTATTTTGTAATAATTTATTAAATTTAATGACATTTTATAATTTTTAAAATATTAATAGCAAAAATGGTTCTTTGAAGAGGTTAGAAGAACTTTGAAGACATAAGTTCACGTCTGCGTCAAGAAGAGAACGTACAGACGTTAGAAGAGCTTCTGTCTTCTAAAAAATAAACGATCTGAAAAACTCAATGTCTACGCGTGGTCTGCGCAGCGCAGACATAAGAGCTTTGAAGACCTTAAAAAGTGAAAACAAACACTACCTTAATAGTAGGAAATGATGGTCGGATCAGACACGCAAAGATTCATGCAGGTCGTTTGCCTGTTTTAGTGTTTTTTGGTCCCCTCTCTAGCTCGTCGGAATCAGAATCTTAACTTTAATTGTGTGTAATGGGCTCATTTTTCTTTTGAAACAATTACTTCTGATTTATTATTAAATTTTTTTATTTTATCAATTATGATATTGAATTTTAATTTTATATTCAATTATATTACTATATTGTTAAGTTAAAAATAAAACAATGACATAATTAATGGTTACTCTCCAGATACACTCAATTATCATTGGAAGTTTCCTCCTCATTTTCCTCGAAAGTCACTCTCTTTCGGTGGCGCGTGCATGGGGCTCCATTTTTTATGATGAAAGTTTTTTTTTTTTGCTATCGATTTGCGTCAATTACTTGCGTAATTCCATATTAAGCAACAATAGAACAATAGTTACATTACTCTCACCTTGATTTTTTTTTCATGTGTTTGTTCCAAACCCATTCATATTGCAAATTTAGTGGGTAATTTTTGTATCAGTCTTTATAACATTTATAGATCATAGATGCAATTTAATTTTATTAATTTCAATTTTTATATTTTAATTTTAGTTCAATTTTAGTTCAAACAATGTATATAGGATGTAACTAAATTACAGTTATCATTATTGATCAGATTGAAGAATATAAATTAAATATATAATTTACATATAGTACATGAACTAATAACATTATTTGATTCAATAAATCAAGATAAAACAATTTTTGGTCACCAATTTTTAATTTAAAATTTTCTATTAAAAAATAAAATTGATGGTTATAACTTGAGTCACTATTAATCTTTTTAAATAGAAAGTAATGAAACTAAAATATAATAATTGAATTTATAATTTACACATAATATTAAAACAAATACAAAATTTAACCGATTTAACAAATTAACAGAAAATAAAATTACTCTCCAGAATTCTAACCCCTATAAAACGCAAATGATTATCTGCGTTGGGTAATTCATGTCTTCCTAAAAAATAAAATTTTAAATATATACTTAATTATTTGTCGTTTATCTGTCTTGGACATGTACTTCAACATATATTTATTTATATATACAACTTTTTTTATACAAAAAATTGAGTGTATTCATTTATATTTATTTTCAAATTCAAATAACCCATCATTTCGTATGCAGGGGTGTTCATAATTCGGTTAAAATCGAAATAACATATCAAATTAAGATTTTGGTCGGTTGATTTTGAGTTTGATCAATTAACAGTTAATGTTTTTTCAGACTCTGGTTATCGGTTAATTCGGTTCAAAATCGATTAATTAATCGAATAATTAAATTAACTGAAATTATTAAATATTTAGTATATTATAAATATTATTTAAATTTAAGGTGTTTAAACTTCGGTTTTAACCGAATAAACATAAAATATTTTATATATATATATATATATATATATCATTTATAAATTTCGGTTAATTCGGTTAATCGGCCAATTAATCAAACCTAGTTCGGATCGATTAATTTTAAAAAAAAAATTCAAATTGATTAACTATTAAAGAAAATATTTTAATTAATGAATTTTGCTATTGTTATGGAAAAAAGAGAAAGAAATTCAATATCTTGATTTATCCCAAAAAAAAAAGTTATGAACACATATGTTAATTTGAAACACAAAACGCATACTAAGTTTTTATGATAATGTAAATGTATACGTATTAAAAATTATTTATTGATTATCCTCAAAATAATAAAGGGAGAGTCGAATCTTTAAACACATTTTTATTCGTAACAAATGATTAATAAATAAGTCTCAAATATATTAATTAATAAATAATGAAGAAAGTTCAAGAAAAAGACCCGCTATATCAGTTACTTATCGTAAGAATATTATATGACAAAAATATTATATAGAATTTAATTTTCAGTTATTTATCGTTGTGCATCTACATGCAGAGCAAAAATCAGGAAACTCGCGTGTTATTTGCACCTACTCACTGAACTCGGCCACCGTCCTAGTCTTTTGAAAGAAAGCCAAACCCCAAAACCGAATGTGAAAACTACAAGACAGCGTAAAATGTAATGGCCGAAGTTTTTCACTTTCCCTCCCCGCTTATTCAACCCAAGGGACTGACTACATTTTAAAGACATTGAAAAAATCGTTATATTTCCTTAATAAAAACAACGGAAATTCATATGCCGAAAAGTCATTTTACAAAACCAATCCCTATTTAAAGTTTTTTTTTAAAGAAGTTTTTAACACCGAAAGGCCCGAGGGCTACCACATTCTTCACGACTCTCTTCTCATCTTTGTTTTTATCATTTTGATTTTCTTCTGAATTTCTATCTGTTATCTTCGTTTTAGTGATGCCATTCAGATCCATGACTTTTTTATTTCCGGTGAATTGACCGGGATTTACGATAACTTTTGGCTAGGGTTGCACAGAACAATTTGAGGTTTTTGGTCGTTGTTCCTTTTTGTCTGATGTTGATGATGGGGGAGGGGAATAGCTATAATGATAGCCCCGGTTACTTGACAACTGGGGATCCCTCGGCCGATTTCGACTTTGATGCTCTAAGCATCGATCTCGATGAAATCAATCGCATCCTTGAAGAGAATTCTGGTTCTTTGCAGGTAGTTGTTTTCTCGTGGTTAATTTCAGTGCCAATTTAGGGTTTCAAACGTCGAGATTCTGGCGGACTTCTACTCTCAAGCATGCAATTGTTTTCACGGAGTTTGTTGTATAAATCACGTAATTCTAGTATCCGCACCTAGCAAATTGACTTACCTCAATATCTTTTGTTATAAGCAACGAGTTCGTGACAACTTAATTTTAGCCATCTTATGAAGCTGATGATTTTTATAGCTAGATTGAGATCGAATGGAATTTATTTTATTTACCATGGAAGTTGTCTTGTGAATTCGTGATCCTGAAGTTTAAAATAGTGGCATTTAAGTTACTGTAATTGCAACTGGATTTGCCGTACTTTCAGTCTTAAACTTATGCTAGATTGAGCTGATTTTCTGGAACGTTTTCTTATATATTTTATATGTATTGCCTTGTTAGTATTGTTTTCTTTTCCATTCCTTAGTATATCAACGTATCTTTTCCAAATCGCAGAGCAAGGCAGAAGACCCATCATTTAGAACTCAAGGGGGCTCAGCCCTTGAATCCAACCAGTTTCAGAGTGGTAAAATTTTTATCCACAAACTTCTTTTACATATATTTACATAATGATTTTTTTCTTAACTTGCTTTCATTGGGGTTTGCTTTTGGAGATCTTGTAGGGTATTCTTCCGAGACTTCAGGTGCTAGGGCAGGGTCTGTTGGTGGTTCATTTGATTATCAACGGAAATTGGAACCTCATTCCCATGATTGTTCTGTGGTCCAGACATCCTCTGCAAGTTTTGAAGACTGGTTTTCAATCGCTCAACTGACAACCTATACAGAGAGGGTTAACATGTCTCTGCCTGAGATGCCTAGCTGTAGTACAGCATCTAGTTTTGTGGAGATAGATAACAACCATGTGCTAGATTGTGGAGATAATTTAAATTTTGATCTTGTGGATAACAGAAATGGTACAGAACCCAAAGATACTGCAGCAGACTTCCACAAAGAAAGTATGTTAGTTATTCCCTAATAAACCTCAACAATGTTGCTCAGTATGCATTTTGAAATTTTTGTATATGATTGCTTGAATGTCATGTGATGTGCTGAAAATATTTAGTGGAAATGCTGATTCAGTATTACTGAATACTGCAGATTCTTCGCTCGGCCCTGCCATTGAGAATATAAACTTAGTATTTGATCAATGTGGTGGTATTCTAACTAATACCTTGGAAACCCCAGAAGCTCCTGAAAATGAGGTACCTATGCCTATGGAGTATTCCACCGTTGACGCTAATACGACTGCACATAAAACCATTTCTAATGAGTCTACCTTCTGTCACGGTTCTGATATTGTTAGTGGTGTTAGTGATATTTCTTCAGTTGTACCTAATTGCATGAATGGAGATGATGGATGTTTTACTGATTCCCCAATGCAATACTTGTATAATTCCCCAAGTTTTATGTTTAAAGAAAGAAAGGAGGGTGAAGCAATTGAGGATCCAACTGAGAGTGCATGTTCTAGTATTAGGATGATTTTTCATGATCAGGGAAGGATGGATAATAGGCCTGTGACACAACTCTCAACAACTGATTTCGTAGATGTAAAGAAACATCAATTTGAAGTCGAAGGGAATGGACATAATTTACCAGCATTTAGAAAGTTGTCATATATTACAAATGATGGGCATTCTGATGACAAAGGATCCTTGCAACCAGTTGATCGCTTTGCTGTTTGCATAGACAATGAACATGAAAAAATTGGTTACACCGGACAACATTTTCTGTCAGTCTGCTGGATGGAGAAAGTCTATTAACCGGGTCGATTCACTTGATGAATACTCTAAGCAGTTCTTTTATGATGTTTCACCTTTTTTATCAAAGCAGCTATTTGTGGTTAATGGCAAGGATGTTCATCATTATCATCAAGATATAAATCTAACTGTTAGTAGTCAAAGTTCCCTTGGAGGTGGATATTCGGAGCAATGTTTTCCCAGCGCTCATCCAATTATTTCATCCATGGTGCATTTTGGTTGTTATGGGGATGAAAAACAGAGCACATTGTTGCCTTCCAGTAGTATCGATCTTTCAAAAGTTAGCCCTGAATCTATTCACAGCAATTCATCATACTGCAGATCTCATGTTGATGATGACCCTGATATATGTATTCTTGAAGACATTAGTCAGCCTGCCCGCTCAAATCAGTCTATTGTGCTTGTAAAGAAGACTCCTAGTTTGCCAAATGCTGCATTTAGTAATCCGCATCATTATTCTGGAACGGGGAGTATCAGGTTCAAGGGAAATGATGAACGGCAAATTTTTCGGGTTGCATTGCAGGTTGTGCTATTTATTTCAGTTTGCATTGTTTCTTACTTTTAGCATTTATAGATTGTAAATATTTTGGTATTATTGCTTATGTATTCATCTCAAATTTCTTTAAAATTTAGAATGATGTTTGATCTTGAGAACCTTTAAGTTTTATATACAGAGAACATATTTAAATTAAAAATTGATCTCATGGAAAAATTTCAGCAACCTGATTCTGTTGAATTAATAGAATTTGGATGAATTCCAGGGGATTTTTTGCATTAGAGTGCACCTATGGTTTAAGTGGCTAGAAAGAAACAATCTTCCACTCCCTTTTAATCCATGTTTATTTTATCATGCATATATATATCTTTAGGGAGTGGTTGAATGAAATTTTGTCCCTCAATGCACTAATCTCTTTGAAAGATCTCTATTTAAAAGTTGATAGTTTATATTTTTTTTGATAAAAGATAGTCCTCATTAAAACCCCCCTTCATATCCTTCATGTTATATTAGTAACATGAAGGACATAGGAAGGAGGAAAAGAGCACCTCTGAATGTTATTACTCTTAATCATAACATACAACCAATACCTAGTCATAGACTGCTTGACATAAGACTTAAAATCATAAAGTATACTGCAGCAGTAAAACCAAAACCTAAAAAACTGACTAAGCACACCAACTTAATAACCTCAACACAATACCACTCAATTAACCAATACCAACCTTTGCTAATTCATCCGCTTCCCAATTGGCAGCTCTCATAATATGTCTTGAAATGATGCCCTGTCCTTCCACATTATTAGCTACACCTCTAACCAATGTCTGAAATAAAGGGGTACATAGATCAGGATTTTTAATCCACTTCAGAGTTGTGATGGAGTCTGTTTCCAAAATAACCCCCTTTCTTAGAGAATAACCTACTTCTTCGATGAGAGTCAAACCTCTTTTGATCGCCATTAACTCCACAAGAATAGGAGGTCCACCTCCAATTTTTTCTGAGAATGAACCAAGTAACAAACCCCTATCATCCCTAATCAAACCACCTATACCACCTTTGCCCCATCCCTTAGCCGTTGTCCCATCAACATTAAGTTTAAGGAAACCTTCTGGAGGAGGTACCCACCTAGTAGGAGGAGAAGACACTGTTTTCTGTCTACCATACGAATATGCCAGTTTTCGATCCCCAACTAGGGAATCGAAAGGGACTTTAACATCCTTAAATCTCACCCCAAACCAAGTAGCAGTTCTGTACCTAGCAAGAAAGAACAACATAGCAGAATCCACCTTCTTTTTCTGGAAAATAATCTCGTTTCTACATTTCCAAACCGACCACAGCACCGCCCTTGGGAAGAATTTTGAAATAATTGATCTCGGAACTAAATAATCCCACGAAATTAAAAAGTCAGTCATCTTCTTAGGAACCACAAAAGAAACATTCCATTCTCTAAAAAATATAGACCACAGGAACCAAACCACCTCACAATGCAAAAAAAGATGTGAAATTGACTCCTCACACTTCCCACACATCGGACATAAAGGATGATCAATCCCAGTGACACCTCTCTTCAGCAGCTTCTCCTTAACTGCTACTATTTGATGTGCAACTTGCCAAACAAAAGCTTCTACAAGAGGAGGTGCAACCCTTGCCCAAACATGCCTATCCCAAATACCCTCTTCTCCTTTATTGCTCTGCTGATCATAAAATTTAGTGATGCACGATTTCGCTGAAAAACAACCCTCTCCATTGCCTAGCCAAATCCAACAATCTTCCTCCATTAATGAAAGATTTAAGCTGTTCAACAAGGAAATAAGCTGCAACCATTGCTCAACCTCTCAATCCACGAAATTCCTTCTCATTTGTATATCCCAAACCCAACCGTAGTTGATGTGCATCCTGAATTCTGCCACCTTGCCCCTTTTATTATTCGATAAAGCAAAATGTCTCGGGAACATCTCCTTCAGTGAAACCCTACCCAACCATATATCGTTCCAAAACTCCACTGATTCCCCATTTCCAGCTCTTAAACACATGTTATTTCTTAAACAATCCCCAAAATCATCAGAAGAAAAGAAATTATTTACCACACCTCTCCATATCCAAGAAGCTCTAGCTGAGCAATTGTTCTCAATCATCATAGAGTTCAGATCCAAATTATTCACACTGCACAAGACTTGCTTCCACCATGATCTCTTCTCCGATGCAAATTTCCAAACCCATTTCCCCAATAAAGCCCTATTCAAAAGCATCAAATTTGGAATCCCTAAACCTCCTAATTTCTTCGGCTTACACACCAGCTTCCAATTCAACCAACGAATATTCTTATTTCCTGCCGAGTTTTCCCATAGAAAAGCTGCCATAATCGAGTTTAACTTGTTGAAAACGCTTATTGGAATTCGGAAAATAGATAGGAAATATATGGGGAGAGAGCACAAAACAAATTTCACTGAAACAACTCTTCCAGCCAACAATAGGGATTTAGCCTTCCATCCAGCTAATGCACTGTAGAAATTCTGCACAACAGTAACCCTAGGTACACTGAAGGAAAAGAACCCTTGGAACATCCAATTTCTTTTTCCCAAGCATTAAGAGCCTCCTCCACATTAACTCCAAAAATTCTGCTCTTTGTTAAGTTTAACTTCAACCCCACCAATAATTCAAAAATCAGCAAAACCCTTCTAACATTCAACAAATCACGAATTGTCGCCTTGCTGAAAATAATCAGATCATCCGCAAATTGTAAATGAGATAACTTGAATGAGCGATCATGAGAACCTAGCTCGAAACCCGAAAAAAGCCCCTTGTCCACTGCTTTTGCCAACATCAAATGTAACAATTCCCCTCCCAAATTAAACAACAATGGAGATAACGAACAACCCTGCCTTAATCCTCTTAAGGGCTTAATTTTCTCCGTTGGATTCTCGTTTACTAGAACCGAAATGGAGGCCGTTGGCACACATTTATAAATCCAAGAGCACCATCTAACTCCAAACCCCATTTTGCTCATTAATTTCATCAAAATCTCCCAATCCACCGAATCATAAGCTCTCTTAAAATCCACCTTAAATACAACTCCATTCAATCCTTTCTTCCTCCAAAAGTCAATGCCTTCGTTTGCAATAAAAGAGCAATCCATAATTTGCCTCGGGATAAAAGCAAATTGAGACGGACTTATAACTTCGTTAATGCATAGGCTCAACCTTTTTGCTAAAACCTTTGATAGGATCTTGTAAAATCCCCTAACAAGGCTAATCGGCCTAAAATCCTCTAATCCCTCCGGATTCACCTTTTTTGGAATAAGGGAAATGTAAGAGTGATTAATCTCCTCATCCCATTCCTTCCCCTCGAAAAAATCCTTAAAAACAACAACATTACTTGTTTCAAACTAGGCCAGAGTTTCTTAAAAAACCCTAAATTTAGCCCATCAGGTCCAGGCGCTTTGCTGTTGTCCGAATTGGCAATTACATCCCATATTTCCTCTTCAGAAAATGGCTTTTCAAGAGCCATACTTTGCTCACTCGATAGTTTTAGAAATTCCAAGTCCAGCTCTTCGGCCTCCAGTGTATTTTTTTGCATGAACAGTTCCTTATAGAAATCCACCACTGCTGCTTTTATCCTACTAGGATCTGAGGTGACTTTATTCCCCACTTTTAGGGACTTTATACAATTCCTCCTGCCTCTTCCTCCAGCACATTGATGAAAATACCTTGTATTCTTGTCCCCTTCCAAACTCCACTTCACTCTCGATTTTTGTAACCAGATGGACTCTTCAATTTTATAAAGGTCCCACAATTCTTTTTTGCCTTTACTAGTTGCTTCATAGACACCACAGGAAAGCCTTGCTGCAATTTGATCTCTAACTTCTGAATTTCTTTTTCCAAACTACTAATTTTTTCAGGAATTTCTAAGTAACCCTTATTAGACCAACTCTTCACAACTTTCTCTACCCCTTTTAGCACATTGGAAATTGGAATTTTCCTTTCTACTTTACACAACTCTAATAATTCAGCCTCCATCATTTGACCAAATCCTTCTTCCTCCATGACATAGTTGAACAGCTTGAAAGGTTTAGGACCCCAATTCCAACCCCTATTTTCCAGCAAAATCAAATTATGATCCGAAATAGACCTTGGTTGAAGAGTTTGGGTTACCAATGGAAAGAATGGCAAAAATTCCTGATCCAGAAGAAATCGATCCAATCTCACATAGGTTGGGACATCCCTGTTATTACACCATGTAAATCTTCCTCCAGCCAAAGGTAAATCAACCAAATTAGCACCGCTCACGAAGTGTCTAAAGACATTCATTGAAGCCAAATTAACTTCACCACCAGCCTTCTCCTCCCGTGACAGAATAGAATTAAAATCCCCTCCAAGACACACTAGGCAGTCTGCATTTTCCATAAAAGAAAGCAACTCCCCAAAAAAAGCTCTTTTTCAGAATCCACATTCGGCCCATACACATTTATAAACCAACAAGACCTAGAGACCCCTTCAATAATTCCTCTTACTGCCAAGAATCTGCTGTGAATAACCTCTTCCTTAACAACACATTCATGTTCATTCCACAAGGTAATTAAGCCTCCAATAGAACCTTCAGCTGAAGATACTGTCGAACCAGTCAGAAAATTCCCTCCTATTTTTCTCAATAATGAAGGACTCACTACCTCCAATTTTGATTCTTGGATAAATAATATTTTAGGCTTCTTCCCTTCGACACACCTTTTAACCGCTCTAGCTTTAACCCTCATCCAAGACAAAATTTTCCAATTTGACATCTATATCTAACTATATAACCTTTCATCCCAATACCCCTTAATTACTCCCATTTCTTTCCCTCTCCTTAACCAATGAAACTGATCTTTCCATAAAATTTTGTTTTCCCCCTCTAAATTCGACCCCCAACAGTTTACTAACTTTCCAGCACTCAAGTGCCTCTGCCCCTCCAGCAAACTCCCTTGAATATATATAATCTGAACTTATATCTACGCAGCTCTTGGCTCCCCCCTCGTAGACCTCGAATAAACACTGTTACATGAGCCTCTTCTCACTTTACTTCCAACCTCTCTTTCCATTAATTATTTGCTGAGAAACCGATAACGGCCCACACTGAAAAGTAGCCCTCGACTGCTCCACAATATTTTCTGCTGTGGGAATATGACCCCCACTGTCTATTCTGCCATTCTCTTGATCCAGCCCTGCCAACACTTGTCTTGCCCGGCCATTCTGAAACCCACTTTCCCAGCCCACTATATCATGCCCAACTGGAACATCCCCCATGTGCTCCCCATCTTCTCTCTCTTCATTGTAACTTTTTGAATTTTCCTGCAGCATTCGCACGCTTGCACAAATCAGCCAAAACAGTTTTATTTGAATTTAAGCAAAAATTCAAACCTCTCTCGGTTTCTGTGTTTTTACCTTGTTGGGAGCCTTGAACCCATTCCTCTACCCTATTTTGGGAATCTGACACCTCCTGAGAACCCATGTGATCTTCCTGTTGCACCTGAACATCCCCTTTGCTCCAGTCCAAGGAGCTCTCCTCCCATGGATCCTCTGAAACATCATTTTCAACCATTTCTGATAACTCAGGAAAAAAATCTTCAGCACATTCAACCTTAATTTTAATCAAGAACTTCCTCCCATACGTATTGATGATAATATGTTCAGGAATATCAAATGGATTGGCCACTCTGAGAAGCATCTGTGCCACTCTGCAGTCCACTCTATGGACAGTTTCATCTTGAATCTTCACTAACTTACCCCATATGGATGCCAAACTATTAAAGAAAGGAACCGACCAGCAATTTAATGGAACTCCTAGCATTGAAATCGCACAATAAGGTAGGGGAATACCTTCCTCATCCAAAACAGGTTCCAATCTTTCAAACCAGAATGACAAAGCTTCCCATTTTTCTTCCATCGCCATCCTTCTCTCCTCCACCGTTTGGAAAACTACCAAACAAGCATTCTTTGCAAAGTCCCACTTTACCACCTTTGCATTGATGCCATCATTCCTTAGAGCTTTCTGCAAAAACTCCACTTCAAAAATTTCTTTACAGATACCATTAAGGGATGATTTCAAGCAGGCCCTTTCCTCCATCAGAATAAAGACTTCCATAGGATTTTCCAGCTCCTTTTTTCTATGTCTACCCTCTTGAACACCCACAGGATCTTTGCTCACCCCAACCACCGTATCTTTATAGGTCCTTCCATCATGGAACCTATCCAACATCTCGATCTTCCTTACCCCATCAGCAGAAGAAGGCAATCTTCCAGGCTTAACCCCTCCTTTGTCAACGCTATTTGAGCCCTCAACTCTACCTTCTTTCTGCCTCCTCGCCCCGGAAAGTTTCTCATATTTCGCTACTGTCACAAAAATCCTCTTTCCATCAATCGTGACGTTGTTCATCTTTTCCACTGCATTACACAAATCCTCCTTGCTTGCGAAATGGACAAACGCAAACGTAGTAGCCTTATATTTCGGTCTGTTGTTGATAAATGGAATGAACACCCTACTAACTTTTCCATAATGACTAAAACGAACCCATAAATCACTACAATGCACTCTCCTACTAAGATTATCAACAAACGCAGACCAAGAATCTCCTCCAATGCATTTTGAGAACTCTCTCTCTCTCTCTATCTCTAACTCTCTCCATTCTCTTGATAGTTTATTTTAATGTCTCTTACCACCAAAAAATGTCAATTATAATCCTTATTCTGTGGTTAAATAGGAGTGCCTGTAATGATTTACCCATCTCTTTGATGCAACTCTGAATGTTGAAACTTGAAAACATTTTAATGTTTTGTTCGATATGGTGTGCTTTGATTGAAGGCAAAGTAACACTTTAGAAGAGCACAGGAAAGTTAAGGCTAGGTAAAAGATGATTGTCATGAGGCTTTGAGTGAACCACTTTGGCACTTTCTTATGGAGGATTTTGTCTGAAAAATATTATTTTAAAGAACTTTCCTAGTTTTGGCTTCTTTTATTAAACTCTCTTTGCTTCCCAATCATTCAAATAGCCCTATGGCATTGCTGTTGTCTGGAAGAGCTTTGACTTGGAAAAACACTGCTGCATAACTTGTTCTGTTGCAACAGAAAGGTTTCAACAAAATAATTAAGAGTTTAGACTCGTGCAAAATACTATTTAGGTTAATTTGGTTGCGTAATAATGGGTTTTAGAATATACTATTTCCAGTTGAAAGTGTTTCGCACGATGCATGTATAGGCTCCTTTGATATTGCCTTGGTTATGAGTGCAATTGGTGCTACATTGCTGCTGGAATAAATCTTATATGCTATATTATGATTATTTATTGACGTGATTATTGTGACTGGTGTATGCTTTGCAGGGTCTTTCTCAGCCAAAGTCTGAAGCTAGTCCACCAGATGGCGTTTTGACAATACCTCTTCTACGGCATCAGGTTTGAAAATTTTCATGTTGTACTCTTTCTGTTTTATTTCAGTTTGTGAATGTTGAGGTTTTATGAAGTTTTTTTTTGTGAGACTGGGAAATGATATTTTAATTAAGGTGGAACTGGCTATACATGGTGATTGCTTTGAATGGTGCAATGTAATATTTTGAGTCTTTGGCTCTTTCTAAAGAGAAGTTGGATATTTCCTTTCTAACTGTGGATGCAGTCAAGATCAAAACTTGTACAAAGAGATTATGTTATTCTTTTGTAGTTCATTTAAGTTACTATGACATTTATTGAGATGTAACCGATGATTTTGATGTTGAAAATTGCTTTGTCCATTTACCTTTCTCATTTATCTACGTTTTCATATTGAATACCAAGGTTCTATTGCGTGTTCATTTCTGAGCAGGAATGTTTCTTTCCAATTCCTTTCTAATATTAATCCATGGCCAGAGAATCGCTTTGTCATGGATGACCCAGAAAGAGAAAGCTGACTCGTGCTGTATGGGAGGAATTCTTGCAGATGATCAGGTCAGTTGCCACATTCTGAGATTGTCTTATATTAATTACACCATTAATGAATTATGTTTATGTGTATATACTGCAGGGATTAGGAAAAACTGTATCAACAATTGCACTTATTCTTAATGAAAGGCCTCCATCTTCTAGAGCATCTTCTCAAGATATAACGAAGGTTGAGATGGAAACGTTAAATCTGGATGATGATTATGATAGTGATGTTGTGGGTAATGATGAAGGGATGAAGCAAGAATCTGAAAGCAGTCAAGTCATGTGAAATGGTGCTTCGAAGAAAAGATCTTTTCCATCAGGGCAAGCAAAGGGAAGGCCAGCTGCTGGAACTCTCATTGTATGTCCCACTAGTGTATTGCGGCAATGGGCAGAGGAGTTGCATAATAAGGTGTCGAGCAAAGCTAATCTCTCCGTTCTAGTATACCATGGAAGCAACAGAACAAAGGATCCTTTTGAGTTAGCAACGTATGATGTTGTCCTCACTACATATTCTATTGTTAGCATGGAGGTCCCAAAGCAGCCTCCTGTTCATGGAGAAGATGATGAGAAAGGGAAGTGGGAAAGTGATCATGCATCATCATCTATGGATTGTCCACCAAGCAGGAAAAGAAAATGCCCATCTAGTGTTAATAAAAAAGGAGTGAAGCATAAGAAGGGAGTGGATGAATTGCTTCTTGATTCTGTTTCTCGACCTCTTGCAAAAGTTGGATGGTTTAGAATTGTCCTGGATGAGGCCCAAAGCATAAAAAACCATCGAACTCAAGTTGCTAGGGCCTGCTGGGGCCTACGTGCTAAACGTAGATGGTGCTTGTCTGGTACTCCAATTCAAAATGCCATTGATGATCTTTATAGCTACTTCAGATTTCTGAGATATGAACCTTATGCTGTTTACAAGTCATTCTGTTCTTCCATAAAGATCCCAATTTCTAAAAGTCCAGCAAAAGGGTATACAAAATTGCAAGCTATCTTACAGACAATAATGTTACGTCGCACCAAAGGTACTATACATGTAATTTTTAATTAGGTTTAGTTGGCCTTGCAGTGAAATGTGGTTCTTCTGTAATCTTCCCAGTCCTATTTATATATTTACTGGATGTAGAATTTCCTCCAGGATGTAATTTGCTTACAACTAAGTGCGATCTCTTATGATCACCTCTCTTTTTTTCTTGTGCAGGTACTCTTCTTGATGGGAAACCGATTATTAACTTGCCACCTAAAGTGGTAGAATTGAAAAAGGTGGAATTCACAAAGGAGGAACGTGATTTATACTCCAGACTGGAGAGTGATTCACGTGCTCAGTTTAAAGTATGGTTTTAACATAACTCAATATAGATTCACACAGATTTTTTACATTTCTTGTAGCTTTACAGTATACACCTAATGGTACTAAACCAGTAATAGTTTATGCGTTCATATTATTTTTCTACGGTACATCTATTTTTCTCTGCTAATTTTGAATTATTTTTCAGGAGTATGCAGCTGCAGGAACTGTCAAACAAAATTATGTGAATATCTTGTTGATGCTTTTGCGCCTTCACCAAGCCTGTGATCATCCTCTTCTGGTCATGGATTTTGACTCAAACTCTTCACGGAAATTGTCAATCGAGACTGCAAAGAAGTTTCCTCAAGAGAAGCTGACATTTCTTCTGAGTTGTTTATCTTCTTTGTCATTGTCTGGCATCTGCAATGTATGTGGTTGTTTCGGCTCTTTTTTTGTTGGTTTCCATACACTTCTAAAATGGATTCTCTTTATACTGCTTCTGATGATTTACACTTGCCTATGTAGGCTTCTGTCTTCATATGCTTTTTAATGGATTTGAATGATCAAATAATGACTAATGAATGTGCTTAGATAAAACACCTGTTTGTGCATGTTTAGATGCTTTAGCTTAGGGTATGTAAAAGGATCATATTGTTCTGTTAGGAAGGGATGTTTTGGCCCAGTAGAGCTCATTAATGAGGAAAATTTCTTGGATGACCCCAGAATGTGGAAATAAATTTTATGCTAGCCATGTGCATCTTTATTCATCTGAGAAAGGGTTCTAATCTATGTTTTCTTGGTCTTCCTTTTCAAGCCTTTCTTAGTTGTTATTTTTGCTGATAGTGTAATTGTGTATATAATAGTTATGGTTAGTACTAAACGACTTTGACAATTTTCCCCCATTAGATTCATTTCCCTTGATCTCTATATGATCATGAATATTCCTGAGAACTTTGCTTGCTCTTTTATAACGCAATTGCAGCCTTATCTGTTTATGTTTGTAACAGCTATGATGAGTTGCCTCATTTGGAAAAATTATTCTTTTATTCCTTTAATTATCCTTGACATTTTTAAGTCTCAATTTTCGGTTTTGGTATTCGTGCTTTTATGTTCTCTAGGATCCATCAGAAGATGCTGTTGTTGCTGTATGTGGTCATGTTTTCTGCAACCAATGTATCTCTGAACATCTTACTGGTGATGACTACCAGTGTCCCACCAGAAATTGCAAAGTTCGACTCAGTGCATCTTCTGTATTTTCGAATGCCACTTTAAACAGTTCTCTCTCTGAGCAGCCTGGTCAGGATAGTTCCCTTGATTTTTCTGGTTCTAAAATTGTTGAGGTATTTGGGCCTTGTTCCGAGGATAGTTTGTATGGTTCTTCCAAAATTAAGGCTGCCCTTGATGTCCTGAAGTCGGTAGCTAAGCCTCAAGATGATGGACTAAAGGCTAGTGGCTGTCCAGAAGATTCATCCAGTCTGCCTTCTGGGGATTCACCAAGTGGTTTTCCTGATGAAACAAGTCTGGTTACAGGTGAAAGTTTAAATGATTCCTCTAAGGTATGTGGAGAGAAAGCCATTGTGTTTTCTCAATGGACAAGGATGTTGGATTTATTTGAAGCCTGCCTTAAAAGTTCTTCCATCCAATATAGAAGACTTGATGGAACTATGTCAGTTGCTGCAAGAGACAAAGCAGTGAAAGATTTTAACACCCTACCGGAGGTTTCCATACCATCTATTCTTTGACCTCTATTATTTTGTATGCTATCAGGAGGTAGTTTGAGATTTAGGGTGTTTATGATTCAACTTATCGACTTGTGAAATTAATTCCTTTGCCTGTAGGTATCTGTTATGATTATGTCCTTGAAAGCTGCTAACCTTGGGCTGAACATGGTTGCAGCTTGCCATGTTCTTCTGCTGGATCTTTGGTGGAACCCTACAACTGAGGACCTGGCAATTGATAGAGCACATCGAATTGGACAGACTCGCCCTGTAACTGTCTTACGATTGACTGTGAAAGATACAGTTGAAGATCGTATTTTAGCTCTTCAGGTGAGCTTTCCTCCCATCTATATTTGTCTTTCATGGTTAATATCATAACTAATATCGATGTGAAGATCATATGTGCCGATTTCTATGGCGGGTAGCTGCCCTGAGCAACTTGGATACATTTTATATTGTAACTGGTCTGACGAATTGGCAATCAGTGTTGTAATTGATAATTCAAAACTAATTTGAATCTGTTTTAAACTTGTCTCATAAGCTCAGGCCTATGAGCAGGTTCTCTCTTCAAAGCCCTAGCCTGAATATGGTCCAGCCTGTTGAATATTAATTTGTCAGGAATTTTAATTTGTGCTTGTTAATATATGCCCCTGGATAAAGCAAACAAATGTTTGGTTCTCTTTAGGGCTGTTCATGGACGGTTAACCGTACCGTTTAGCCTAAACGGTCGGTTAACCGTTATAACAGTTATGAGATTTTTTTTAATCGTAATCTAACCATTAAGAAACTGTTAACCGCTAATGGTTAACAGTTATAACGGTTCGGTTATAGATTAAAGTAGGTTAACCTATTACAATTATTTGTCAATTTTTTTTCATAATGTATACTAAAATAAAATGTAGCACTTAACACATACTTACACTGGTGTAAGTGAATAAAATAAAGAAGTGTAGCACTTAACACATACTTACACTGCTTACACTGGTGTAAGTTAATAAAATAAAGAAGTGTAGCACTTAACACATACTTACATTGGTGTAAGTGAATAAAGCAAAAAAGTGTAACACTTAATACATACTTGCACTGAATCTCTCAATATCTTAGTACCTAACAATAAACATATAAATATATATATAAATTATAAATAATAAATAATAAAAACTTATATTAAGTTATTTATGTGAAAATTTAATAAATTAGAATTAGAATTATTAATTTAATTTATTAACGGTTAGCCGTTTATCAAAATTCGTAATAGTAACCTTAACCGTTAACCATCTTTTTTAGCGGTTCGGTTAACTAAAACCGTTTAGTATTAACGGTTCAGTTAATTAATCTATTAAATATAACGGTTATACCGGTTAACGGTTTTAGGTTTTTTTTAACAGCCCTAGTTCTCTTTATATTTGTAATTAATGTTTCTTTGTAAATGAACAGCTTAAGAAGAGAGAGATGGTTGCATCAGCATTTGGGGAAGATGAAACTGGTGTTCGTCAGACTCGCCTCACAGTAGAAGACTTGGAATACTTGTTCATGGCATGATAATTTACCTTTAAAACAACAGTGATAATTTGCATTACTAAATAGGACTGGATGATCCCAGCTTCTTCTTCGTTTTGAACCATTTTCTGACCCATCTTCTCAGCCTACCATACGGCATTTCAATAACCCAAATACCATTTTACAGCTTCTTTTGGACCTGACCTGGAAGAGTTAAAGCTCTTCTGACACTCTGAATAGTCCTAAAAGAATCCTCACGATATGGTCTTAATCAAGAAAGTAGAGTTCATTTTTTCCCCGTTTGCGATTCAAAGTTTTACCCTTTCATAGCTGCAGTTGAGAGTTTCTTTTTAGGGTGATTCTTTTAGTCATAGTTGTAAACAACAGGCAAAACTTTTTCTTTTCTTTTACAAAATAGAAAGTTTGTAGCTTCATTGGATATTTTGACCGTAATACTATTTCCGTTGTTTATATTCATCAACTTTTGTGGCACCTATCTGGGCGGATGTATAGATTGCTATTCCTATTTCTTGATATTGATTTTCATCCAAAATTGGCATATGCAGTTGCCCTCAACTGTACTCCATCTCGGATTTCCTCTGTATTTCAAAGTTTCTTGTTTACTACAATAATATTTTCTTCTGCATGGTCTGCTGTTACACTTGGCAAAGTGAGCAAGAAAGTGACGAATTGAGGCAGTTGTTGCCTAGGTCATAAACTTGTTTCGTATAATAATCCAAAACAGCTCCTTGAATTCACTTCCATTTGGATCAGCAAAATGAAGCAAGGAAGAACCCCAAGTGGTTCTCCATAAAGATAGCCCATCAAAGTTGGGATCTCATTGCAAACAAAATCAACATTCGGGACATAACATTTCAGGCCATGAAATCTACCCTAGGCAAAATTGGCCCATTACAGCACCTAACTCCTAAAACAAAAAATAAGGGTTTTAAGTAGGGATGGCAATGGATATTGGACCCGACCCGAATTCATAGATTCAGATCCGTTTTATAGGGTTTAGATACTAAAATTTTGGACCCGACGAATATGGATCCTCTTATTAAAGTACGAATTTGGGTCTAGATTTAACAATAAGATATCAGGTCAGAACTCATTTATCTGTTTATAAAAAAACCCACCTTTGATTTTAATATATGACATAATGGTTTTTAAAAAAATATATAGATATTTTATAGAGGGAGATGTCTGAGTTCTTATAGGGTTTAAACTCGGTTTATGACAATATAATGTTTCATGATCCAAATTATTTAATATTTGTGTTATTCAAAAGACATTTGTGTAATTCTGTGGAATTTTTCTTGAGACTTTAGTTTATCGTTTTTTATTTTGTTATTAGTTATATTGAAATTAATCTTCCCTCCATTGGAGATATGATGTGACATTAGTCAATGACAGTTTTATTACATTAAAAAATAGGTCGAATGTTTTTTTAACAGACTCGTTTTGGACCCATTTAAGACTCGGATTTGTGAGATCCGTTGGATTTGAATCTGGGTCTCGATTTTCTAGACGCGCAGAGCCGGAGTGGGTTTGGATCCAAGATGTGAAAATGGATTTGTATCTAGGTCTAGTTGAATCCAGTTCTAATTCGGCCCGTTGCCATCCTTAGTTTTAAGGCACATTGATTTTTAATTAGGGATCTACGACATTACTATAGTTCGAGGAATAAATCACCTCGAGGTGACGAGTTTCATGGGATATTATTATTTTTTATTATGTGCATATTATTTTATTTTAAAAAAAACTCATCAACTGTGATGAGTTCCGTTGAAATATTATTATTTTTCTTGGTAATATACTTAAAATCAGAATTAAAAAAAAAAGACGTTGGAACTCATTACCTCGAGGTGATGAGTTCCAACGTCTTTTTTTTCAATTCTAATTTTAAGTAGAGGTGATGAGTTCGATTGGATTTGAATATATAGTCATTTTATAGCCGTTGGAACTTGTCTTGTGTTCTTGACGAGTTCCAACGGTTATTTTGAGAATATTTTATCTATAAATAAGAGTTGAGTTAGTTGATAGAGTTATATGGGAACCGAATCAAACAGTTGTGGGAAGAATATTTCAGACAATTTCCAAAAGATCATTTTGCATCTGATTACTATGATATTGATGATTCAGATTCAAGCTTGTCTTCAGATAAAGAGTGGGTTAAAGAGTCAATAAAGTCGATTCTTTATCAACATAAGGAGATGATGATGATGATGATGATGAAGAAGAACAAGAACAAGAGCAAGAACAAGAACAAGAAGAACAAGAACAAGAAGAATGAAGACTAAGAAAATCGAAGTAGCAAACGACTTATCGAGAGGAAGAAGAAGAGGAAAATTGTTTATTTTGTTGAAAAAATGTTTTAAATATATGTATGAATTTGATTTAAGTTAAATATATGTAAGAATTTGAGTTTAGTTAAATATATGGTTATTGATATTGATAATTTATCCAAAACATGTACAACAGAAAACATTTGAAGCAATACAAATACGAAGGTTTATCAGCCCGATCGATATTTTGGAAGATGTGAACATTTCTTCCTGGTGTGGCATTCACCTCTGTGGTTGCCACAAATTTGGTAGACTTTACTCTTGTTGTGGATCATCTATATCAATATGAATTTGACTAGATTTAGGACGACCCTTTAAATTTCTTAGTAATTGTTGATTGGGCAACCATTACTCAAAAATAGTTGGATGCCAATATGCAGCGTTTGGGAGATACTTAAATTCAAAACTATATATGTTGTACATAGTAAACAAGCTATAACAATCATCAACGTATGAGTATGGATCTACATTGACATGCATACATGCATCAACAGATATGGAAGCTCATTGTACGACTGATCCCAATCACCATATAATAGTGTAAAAGCTTTATTTTTCACCATCCACGACTTGTAGTAAGACAGAATATAACCAAATGTATTCCAAATTGATACCACTATCATTGAAACTAGAATACTTGCATTTTTTTCCACCAAAAGCTTAACGTATGCACATATAATATTAGAATCTAAGTGTTTGTGGTCTTGTGTCAAGGACATTAACGTACAACTGTGTTGGTTGTGGAACCTTGCGACTTCCCACAACATCTTTTGCTGTAGGTATGACATATGTATCATCCACTTACATCCGATATTGTTGTTTATACACTTGATAAGGTATGTCTTCTGACCAGACTCAACAACAATGAATTCTATATGAGCTTTTAGACAAAATTCCTTAACTGCTAGTTAGGCATCATTTTTAATTTTAAATTGAGACCCAGCTGTCAACTCTGTTGATTCTTCTTCCGATGTACCCCAGTGGGCTGCATATATCACTATATATAAGGAATCTTAGGATTCTTCATGGCATCATCACTTATATCATGCATTGCACTAGATGATGATTGTGAGGTATTTGGGGTTGTGACATCTCAGATTGACTCACTGAGGATTCGAGTATGCATAACCACGATAAATCGCTGCCTCTCAGATATCACCCTCTATATCAAAACCTTGGCCCTCTGAAGTAGCCTCAGCGATATCAGAATCATCAATTATTGGTGTTTCATCGTCTAGCATCAGTGGAACAAAAGTTTCATCATCCTTGCTAAAATCAACAAGGGTTTCACCAAATCACTCGACAAGGTTATCTAGGTCATTTGATGGTCTTGCTTCTTCGGGTGTAGTAGTTGAAAATATAGGAAAATATGCAGTTTCAACGTATAACTCAACTAGTTGATTATTTAAAGATTAATGCAGGCTAACCGTAACAGCTACATCGTTATCGTCGCCAAGCTGGATTGCTCCATATTTGACTGGATTCTCTGAAATTAGGTGTCGATAACTCAAACATGAGATAGAAGCTTCAAGTTTGCTCTCAATTTTTTTCTTCATTTGTCGATGTGATACATCTACAGGGAACATCATGTTTACAGGCCTCTGTGACAAACACAACACCATCATCATTTTTAGTGACTTGGCCATTTGAGTGAACGACAGTGAAAATTTTGTTAGCCATAGCTTCAAAAAGGTTTTTGGAGAAAGGTTTTTGCTGAAGATTTACATGAAGTAAGCCAATTTAATAAGCTTCAGTAACTTTTCATTGAAATGTCATCTCTAATAATACACCATGCCTGAAAATGTCAAAACGGGCCATTAATAATCTTCAGAAAATGCCACTAATAATGCACCATGCCAGAAAATGCAAACAACTTTTCAATGCCCCATCAATCATCTTCAGCAACTTTTTAGTAATATATCAACTTATTTCTGAGAATTTTCAATACTGATATATCACTTCATATCAATTACAAACTGCATTTCAACAGCTATCTCAAATAATGCACCATGCCATAAAATTTCCAGTTCACAAACTTTTTTTCCTATAAATACGTGTTAGGTGAAACATATTTTACCGGTCTAGAACAATTTTAGTTTTTCACTTCCAAAATCTTGAGTTTTTTCAAACATGACAACTATTCATGCAACTATTCTTTATGATTGCAAATCTTTAACCATGTGTTTCAAAAAATTATTCAACTATAAAAGTTGAAGTTCAATATACAAAGAAGGGTTCAACTAAGAAGCAATAGAATAATATATTTTTTATATTATAGAATTCCACTATCATGCACGAGGTTTCATCTAAGCGATGATAGTGACCTTGCTGGTATGATTGAGACATACTTCTATCATTCTTTGTCTAATGTCGATCTGTTTGTAGAGTTCGATGATCTCGACCTTGCTTATACGTTTGAGGATGCTGCTTCCATCTCGAACATCCCAACAACTCAGACAAATGACGAAGCAACAAACATAGATGATGGAGACTCATAAGCATGATTCCAATTTGTACGTGAACGGCAACAAGAAAAAGCACGGAGAATTGAAGAAATTAATATTACTTCTAACGAGTCTATTGATTTCGAAGAGTATAACATCATAACGAATAATGCAACATATGTTTATGAATTTTATGATTTGATTCATTGTTTAGTGTGTGTAAGGTTTGTCCTATTTACTTCTTAATGTGCATTTCTCATGGTTCATTGTTTTTCTCCATATATCAGAATGATCGTTCGAACTCCTCACATTAAAAAGATAAAAAAAACAACTGAATATGGCCACTTAAATCACGTAACCTCAGCATTACGACTTTATTATTTAATTATAATATTAAACAAAAAACAACCATGAAAAAAACTTTAGAAAATTAAAGTAATTTTTAATAACTTCAACGAACTTGTCACCTCTAGTTGACGAGTTCCAACGCTTTTTTTCAATTCTAATTTTAAGTCTATTACTGGAAAAAAAATATAATAGTACTTCTTAAAAAATTAAAATAATACGTAAGTAACAAAAAATAATATCTCATGAAACTCGTCACCTCATCTTGTACTGTAACAAATGTAGTAGATCTTTAATTAAAAGTCAATGTGCATTAAAACCCTAATTTTTAATTTTAGTTGCGGTAATGGGCAAAAACGCCATCTCCCCTAGCATTGAAGTTCACGGCCCAAACAAGAGAACGTTTTTGAGCAAGGAAGTTAAAAGATGGTTGTGGAGTGTAAGATCACCTCTCATGTCATTGTCTTAGACGTACGGAGCATTCGATAATCCAGTCAAGCTAAAATAATTTAGAGCTGACGAGTCATATTTTATAGCTCGAACTTAATTTAAAATTTTTGTAGTCAAGTTAAGTTTAAAAAATTCAAGTTTCTATACTAATTTTATTATAATTATTTATAAAATTATGACAAGGATTTGTTCCAATTTTTTTACTTTCTCTAACCATATAATATATATATATATATAATATTCATTTCACGTTATAATGTTATTTAATATATAAAATACAATCTAAAATTATAAAATATATTCATAATATTATATTTTGAATTGATGAGTATAAATGAGTAAGAAGCTGATGAGAAGAAAAAATTTACAAACAATTGTAGTTAAAAGATCAAATTGAATAAAATGCAAAGCTATGGGACTAAATAAAAAAGAGTCAATTTTTAGTAAAAAATGTAAGAAATTAAAGTTTCATAGGTATTCTATTGTGGTATATGAGCATGTGGTTTAAATTTGGTAAAAAATGGTCGTAAAATAAATGATGAATTGAAGAAATAAAGAAATTATAAAAAACTAAGAGACTAAATTGAAAAATAAAAAAATATTATAAAAAATGAATTGAAAATATATATATATTTTACGATGGTTTAGGAGCACGTGGTTCAAATTTGATAATAAAATGGACTTAACAGGAAGGAGAAATTGAATGAATAATGAAATCAAAGACTAAATCGTAAACCTATCAAATACTTAGTCAGGTTTTCGAATAACTCGAAATTTTAAAACCGAATTGGTGATTCAAATTGACTCAAATAATTTGAAATTGAAAAAATAATTTTTCGGAGTTGAATTTTGTTTGCGCCAACGTACGCACATACCTTGGGATCTCGAAGATTTTCGTAATGGTGCTCACACGTATAAGAGAAGAGGTATTCAACTATGCACGTGCCAAATTAAGAAACGTTATTGGTGAGTGTTCTGGCGTTTTAAAAGCTCGTTTTCCAATTTTGAAGAGGATGGCGCCAAATCCCTTTGTACTGCAGAGAAGCTTTGCTATTGCTTGCGTACCTCTGCATAACTGTATCAGAAGATTAGCCACGCCTTCTTGGAACATGCTGATAATGAAGGTGAAGATAATCCGGAAATGCATTAAAATAATGATGAAAATTGACCTCAAATAGGAGGGCGAGGTTCACACATTATATGATTCATTTAAGAGAACAAATGGCTAATCAACCGTGGAGGAAAGCATAAACTGTTGTATCTATTATATAATGCCTAAATAGTTCCAAAATAATAATACATTTTGTTACACCTCATTTCACACATTTAAATAAGTAGGCAGAAGTATTTAATTAATTAAAGGTATATCTACTTGTAGTCATCCGCGGAAGTAGGAAGTATAAAGTGTTGAAGGGAAACCCCATCGCCAAGGATGGTGCCTGGGTAAAACGGAGTGTTTTGAGGAAGCTGGTTGAGCAAAGAAACGAAGGAATTGGTATCATCTCTGCTATTACCATTTACATCATCTTGCTGGAATCTTTTCCCGGATTCTGAACCTGTTGAATCCGGTTCATTCCAGTACTGTGGAGGAAGTGCTGGTTTAACGCTAAACGCCATGGGGAAATTTGGCTTTGAGCCTGACGATACTGGTAGTTGTGAAATGTTGGAACTGCCTCGCATCCCCTGATCTGATAATATCCCATCAAAGAAATTATCTTCATGTTGTAGCAATGAACCGTAAGTGGTAGCTTTTGATGTTAGAGCGCTTGGATTTTGATTGTTAGGAGTTGGCAGTGTCGCAGTACGCATCCCCGTTCCCTCCATGGTGTCCCTTTCCATGGGTCGTTGGGCATTATTCTTCTTGTAAATCCGGCATAAAACCCAATCATCAAGCTGAAAACACAATGGCTTTGGTAAAATGATATGAATCTTAGTTTTACGGGGACTGTAACACATACCCGTAAAGAAGCTTTCCTGTTGGGTAGATCAGTAATTTGAGGCTTTGAAGTAGAAATATTGTCGATGAGGCGATATTCATGCATGATCCAATTGGTTTTGATCCCTTTGGGAGGCTTACCTCTGTAGAACACCAGAGCTTTTTTAACACCAACCTTTTGGTTTCCATTGGAAGTTACAATGGGCTTATCGGTCCCGGTGGCTTTCCAGTAACCAGAAGTTGCGGCTCTATTAGGCCTTGCTCCATTCGGATATTTCCTGTCTCTAGGACTGAAAAAATACCACTCTTGCTCTCCGAAAGTTGCCTTACCTACAGATTAATTACACGGTTTAGTTGCTCAATGAAAACATGGTCAAATATAAATTTTTGTGTACGTATGTATACTTGGCAGCTCCCATGGATCAAACTTGTAAAGATCAACTTCGGCTATGATTGTAACAGGCAGAGGAGCAGATGCGACCTTCTTTTTCAGGTAGTGAACCACTAGCTCTTCGTCGGTCGGGTGGAATCGGAACCCTGGTGGTAGCTGCGGGTGCGGCGAAACCGACGATGAATCTGTACTCTCCATTTATTTGCTTTGCTTCAAACTTTTGTAACTAGTTTTCATGAAAAAGAACGGAGTTACAATAAAAGCTTGAAGGCAGATGAATACAAATGGAGAAGTTAAAAATATACGTTGATGACTTCATGTTATAAGGGGGAAGGGAGAGGCAGGTTGTTAAGGTTGCTATGGAGCCAAGTGGAGAACGGTGATCGGATGACATGTGGCAGGGTGATTGAAGGGAGTGCTGATACGTGGTGGGGACCACAGAAAGCGGGCAAAATGCAAGAAAATTGGCAGGTTTGTAGGGTCGCATGCTTGGAACTAACTGCCTGTCATGCTTTTCTTATGTGGTGGTCTCGCTTCTGTCCCACAAACTAATTTCAAGAGATAAAGGAAGAGTGTAAAGTGTGCAAGCATGTCTGTTTTTGGAATTTTATTTTATTTCTACCAATGAAATTATGTAAAAATCGAATCCAACAAGTTCGTACTAAGATTTTTTTTTTATATTACGCATGTAAATTATTTGGAATAATAATATGCCAAGGAAAAAAACCATCTGCTGAGCTTGGAGAATAGGCATAAATCCATGGGGAAAAGGTGACCCGGAAGCTTTGTAATTTTCCTCGTAACTAGAATGTATGTAGCTTTGTTCTTTTCCATTTTATTACTGACTAGTTATAGTATATCTTCCCCAATACTTTGATGATATCTAAATAAACATAAAGTGATGAATTATTAATTTTTAATTTTTCTACTTAATCGGACATAATTTTTAAAATCGACAGGAATTAACTTTTAAAGCAATTATTTTGATTAATCATTGAAACCAGTTTTTATAATGTTATCATATACAGTGTTTAGATTAAGATTTTTTCAAATCTTTAAATCAAAGAATAATGTCTAAATCATGATTATAAATGTTAATTGAGTTTGTTTTGTTGAAATATTCCATTAATTTCTAATCCATTAGTTTTTTCTATTATTTTTCAATGCATTAATTACTATCATATTTTTTTTTTGAATAGAACTATTATCATATATATGTATGAGATCAATTTATAATTGTATAAACCATACTTATAAATATCAATAAATGTTTACTAAACTTATATAGGATAATCCTTTTTTCCCTAAAAAAAACTTGTATAGGATAATAAGAAATATGACTTTAACGTCAATAATCTTTAGAGAAAAAGTTAGTTGACTTTAACCCCTAAATATTTGAGATTTTTATCAGTCTCAACATGTACCCCACTCGTTCTTTATTTGATTGATTAGTATTTTTGCAGAAATAGTGAGTAGATGCTTGAGACCACCACGGCACTCTACACTTGCTTCCATTTTCTTTATATTTGACTTTGAATTTTCTTACGGTGAAACCTTTTTAATAGGGATGGAGCCAAAATTTTAGTTAATGAGACAGTATAATTAATAATAAAAAATAAGAGGTAAAATCAAAATAAATCAAAATTTAAAGGTCTAAATTAATAATTATTCTTATTTTTAATGGTAATTTTTTTTTGGGGGGCCTACATGGCTCCGTCCCTTCCTTTTAAGCTGCAGTCTTCTGGTGTTTATATTATTTAGAGTAATTAAATACTTTTGACTTCAGTTCATGTCAAGCTCTCATTTACTGTTTTTAATTTATTATGATCATCATTATTCATAGACACGATTTATATACCCTATAGATGAATTCATAATAACCATCAATGCATTAGAAAGTAATCAACAGAAAATAATGAATTAGATTTTATTCTAGTATTTAATAGGTCAATGCTAATTGTTTTACAAGAGGTTAATGTTAATTTTGATACTCTGTTAGTGGTTGATGGTCAACAAAGTATATGCTACTCTGTTAATGGTGGAAGGTGACGCACTCTCCATTGTAAAACGCATCAACTCTGAAGGTCCCGATTTTTCAGAAATGAGGTCCCTTATCACCGATATAAAAGAAGAGAAAATAAAATTCTTTGAGGTTTGTCGTTTTCAATTCATCCCTAAACAACCTAACCAGGACGCTCATGTTTTAGCCACAAGGGGTTTAGAAGATTCTACTGACGGTCATTCTCGAGTTAGCGGCGGCCGACCGTCGATACCTGGATCCACCCTGAAGCTGAAGTTCTTCTGGTCTTTTTCGCAGAGGAGGACTTTTCTGGATCTGTTGTGCCCCTCCTCATTTTTCTTCTTCTTGTTTTAAGCTCAAATGAGTTTCCTTCCCATGGAGCAAAAGTTTCATCGTCGTGCTTTTTCTCTCTTTTCGTGTTTTCTCAACTATGTCTCTCTGCTTTCTTTAGTTTTCTGGTGTTTCTAGTCACTTTATTTTGTTTAGTTTTTTCACCTTCTTTTTGGGCAATCTGTTTAATGCCCAGTTTCTTTGTTTTTCCTTTTATATTTCTAATAATATCACCCAACGACAGATTTTCTAAAAAAAAATGATAAAATTGTCAACAAAGATCAGCCTCGGATAATCGATACAATTTCATTTTTGAAAAATAGCTTTTCCAGTTAAATCATAAAAGGAAGAGTAAAAAAAACCCATTGGAGAGGTCCGGAAATCCCTTTATCAACAACGAACCCAAGAGTTCACATAATGTCCATTGCTGATATGACCTAGCCACCGTGCGGTCGATTCTTAGGTTAATTTGTTCCAGGGAAAATAAATTTTGAAAAATAAATTATATTTTTTAAAAATATTTTTTAAAAATATTTTTTAAAATTTATTTTGTGGTGTTTGGATGATATTGTGATTTATTTTTCACTGATTTATATATATTTTAATTTTTATTATAAATATCAAATACAATAAATAATATTATTTATTAACACAATAATATTTAATTTAAAAGATTAGACTAATTTATTTAATTTTACTTTTATCCATATTATTATTAAAATATTAAGATTATTATATCTTATTAAAATAAAATTGCTATATATTATAATAATTATTTATTAAAATAAGAATAATATATTATTAATTATATTGTTTTTTTATTCAAATAATAATATTAAAATAAAAATAGTATATTATATTTTAAGGAGTATGTTTTAAATATTCAATAATTTTATAATATTATTTTAATGAAATTAATAAATAATATTAATCTATTAATAATTTATTATATATTATTAAAATAAAAGTATAATATTATTATTATAATAATGTAATAATAATAATAATAAAAATATTATATTTTATTATTAAAATTATCAATAAATATAATTTAATAATTAATATTTTTATGAAAATGATACTAAAATAATATATTAATATTAAATATATAAGATAATAATGTTTTGAGTGCGTGTGATTTGAAGTGAAAAGTTCATAAAATCACTTACGGAAAATCAAATCGTAAGTCATTTTCCAGAAAATACAAATGAAATTCAGTTGACCAAGAAAATGAATTACATTGACCATCTATTTTTTGCCAATCAAACTCCAGGAAATAAGAAAAATATTTTTCAAAGAACTAATTACATGAAAACAAACAAACCCTTAGACTGAGAAGTGCAACAAAAACAAAATACTAACCAGGAAAATGAGAAGAAGTCCTTTAACATGTACGAAATGTTCACCTTATTATTTTTTGTAGAGAATTTGAATTTGAATAATTATTCGTAGGACACCTCTGTATTATTAAACAAAAAGTATAATTAAATATTCTTATATAATCGTATCATTTTTAAAAATTTAAAATACCTTCCGTAATTATAGGTAATGTGATCGTTGTTATCCAAAAATCACCCTAATTCCTAATATCCTCGGTCAGACACCCTTTGTCCAAATATTCCCGATCTAACACCCTTTTGAGATAAGGTACGTTTGGTGAAATGCACCAATGTCGAGTCAGGTCTAAAGCACATTAGGTGTAATGCGCCTTTTCCCAGTTACACGCCACGTGGAAGGCGTATCCACCGGGGCGCACTTTACCCGGGTTCTGGAAGGCGCATCCCCTAGGACGCGCCTTTCCCTTCCATCGTGTACCACCCATTTCCCTCCCCTCCCCTATATTAAGAACCCTACTTCAATTAATTGACTGAAAAAATAAATAAAAAAATCAGACAAAAAAGGAATGACTAATTGTAGGGGAAACACTTTCTCCATTGTTCAGAGAATATATGTCATGTCATTATCTCATCCCATCAAATATATAGTGTTGATGGGGACAATTCCTTGACTGTTGACATATAAAAAATCTCAGTTCACATAATTTTCTGAGAGGCTCATTCAAGGGAAAGTGTTTTCCCTTTTTTTCAGAGAGTCTCTGCCATGTTATAGTGTCTCACCTCATCAAACATAATTGAAGAAAATAGTTCGACGACTCTCAATCTCCTTAAATTCTCAAACTTTCAGACTCTCAAATTTTCAAAATGAATCTTATCTAAGCTATTGTTTATTATGATGAAGAAATTTAGGAAGATGAATTTGGGGTTGTTTTTCGATCAGATCATTATATTCTCATTACATTCAAGAGAAACATCACTATTGAGGAATTAATAAAAAAATCTCAAGGAATGCTCATGTTGGAAATACTAAAAGATTGTCTAAACTTCAGTACAACTTTTCGGTTGAAATTTTTCCTTTAACATATACAACATTCGATATCTCCACTGATGAAGATGTTGCTATGATGGTTGATACTTCCAATCAAAATTCAAACTTTATTACAAAAATGTATGTCACGTTTGTTGATGTTCATACAGTTCGTGGTATGTCATTATTCTCCCACTATGGGTTACCTCAACCAATTCATCAAGTTGACAATCCAACTCAAACAATCTGTAATGATTTCACATCATTGATGGAAAATCCACCTCCTGATACCATTCCATCAAGTTCAATAGGGAGACATTCATCTGTCAAGTTTTTTGACCTCAACATGGAGATGTCTTCCAGTTTCAGGGGGTGACATTCATTTTCCAGCTTCTTTGACCTCAATATGGAGATACATTTGACACAACACTCAGTTCATAACCCACATGATGACATCCCTTCAAGTTCCAGAGTAAGGCATTCATTTACGAACATGTTCGACCTAAACATCAAACTCACAGAGGAACCCTCATCTCCACCAGAAAAACCTCTTCGTGAGCCAG